GAACCAAGTAAACGAGCCTTTGGTATCAATCGAGAATGTTCTCATCCCGCATCTTCATGTAAAATTGGTATTGTATAAAGATTTATAAAGACAATTGTGAAAAGAAGAGAAAAAGTTTTGCAATGCTTGCGAGAAATATTTCCTGCGCTAAGCATTGCAAAATTAAAATAGGATTAAACATTCAATTTTCTTAGTTTCTTTAAGAAACTTTCTTGGACCCATCACTGGTAATATTCATAAGAAAAAATTGAACCTACACCTCGCCAAAGTTTTTTGTTTTGAATGCGTTCCACCAACTTCAAATACCGACAGACAGCTGTTTCGACCTTTATTGGGTCTCATCATTGTCGGGTAGGTTCAATTTTTTCTTATGAATATTACCAGTGATGGGTCCAAGAAAGTTTCTTAAAGAAACTAAGAAAATTGAATGTTTACCTTAAAGTTTAGCCCGGTTGGGTTAATTCTAGATTCCTTTAGGCCATATTAGTATCTGTGATACAATTGCTGTGTGCAGTCCCGGTTGCATAGTATGTACCGATTGCGGCAAAGGCCACGTCGTTTGACGGTGTGGATCACCTGATGTTCTTACATCTCGCCTCTGTTGACTTAACAACTGAGCATCCCAAGTAACATTTTTAATTACCTAAAGTTCTCATTATTTATATAAAAGGTTTATAATAGTAAAACAAATTACCCACAGGGATTCAGGTTTTAAAGTGGTCATATCGATTACTTATCCCCAAAAGTTTTATAACATGGTTGCGGAATACTGTTCATTACCTTTCTTACAAAACCTTTAGTTCCTAGCACCTCAAGTATTCTAAACAGGTTATATAACTGTTTTGTAAATTTGTTTATAAAACTTGTTGCACCGGGTTTTATAAAGGAAATTATTCACACTATTTTGTTACTTTAATTGATTTTAGAAACCGTTATATAAAACTTAACACTTCTGGTTACAAAGATTTCTTTAAGTTGTTTTTATAAAACGTCAAGTACTTTTAGTTTCCTTTATATAATAATTATTATAGTTTTAATTTTAAGTCCAGTTTTATGAATTTTGATTTTTTCATCCATGGTGTGTTAAAAGATATTGAAAAAATGAGTAATACATGGGTATTTTATCCAGTCGTCCTCTGGCATGGAAATTGGATCTTTTATAATTCTTGATGTGTTTTTTTATTTTTGGGCCAAAATAAAACATTATTAACCTCCCAACCACAAGGCACAATTGTCAATGAGGGTTTTTCACGCCCTGGTTCCTCGGTCTGCACGATTTTGTAGGACATATTATGATAATATTATTATTTATTTAGCAAACCTTATGTTCTGTGTAGCAAACCTTCAATAACAAAAATCTGAGGTTATGTTTTCATAAGTATTTTCTACGCAAGCGCCAACACCTTAGGTTATATAACAGTCACATAGATATCCAATAGTCATGGTCGTTACCTCTGAATTTATATAGGTAATGATGACCACTACGTGTTTTATAACTGCTGATAAGAAGTAATAAATATCCCTAAAATTTCCTTTATATAACTTAAGGTGTGGAGTAAATTATAAAACATGTAGTGATAACTATTACCTAGATCTGCGGTGGCCATACTCTTCTGAGATTTTTAATTTTAGGTCAGAAAATTTATTACAAAAATATGCTTTAAAAATTGAGTAAAGCTTAAAAATATTAAACTATGCACATTTTTGGGTCTTGTCAAGCCAGATATTTAAGTAATCTTTATTTTTAACTGGATTATAAAAAAATGTAATATATATTCATAGTTTTTATTAACAAAAAAATTACCAAAAACGCTTGCATTCCGAGGCCGCCGTGTTTTCCTTGAGTAAAACACAATTTTACACAGCACAAAAGAATTCGCAAGTGAATTTCTACCTACCTGAGAGTTTTAGCAAACATTTACTTCACTGCATTGCGAGAGTAGCCATTTTAAAATAATAATCTTCCCCACCCGAAGTGATGCTGCGCTGTTAAGTGTTTGCTTAGTAAACATAGATTATGAATATTAAAAAAGAAGCAGGCTGACAAAGACAATAAATATAAAGTATGTACTACAGTTCCTTAAAGGTTACCGGAAATATTATATAACTTTTAGTACTGGTTCTATTTAGGTAAAGGTAACCAGTTAAGACCTTACTTTAAGTTTTATAGTAGTTACTGGGTTAGTTTTATAAAGGTTTTTTTAAGGTGTTCTCTACTATCAGTAGCGTACTCTAGGTCATTGTAGTTACTAAGAAAACAGTTATAAACTAGGCCATTTAAGGCCTATAACGCTTTTATAATTGGCATAAACAATTTCTCCTGACTATTAAATATGACCTTAAGTTATATAAGTTAGTGATGGTTACCTTCCTAAACCTAATATAAAACTAAAAATGTTACTTGGGATATAGGCTCAGGGAGTAATTTGTTTTGATTGTATTCCACTACACTAAGTTGCCCGACACTGATGAGACCCAATAAAGGTCGAAACAGCTGTCTGTCGGTATTTGAAGTTGGTGGAACGCATTCAAAACAAAAAACTTTGGCGAGGTGTAGGTTCAATTTTTTCTTAAAATAGGATTTTTAAATTTTTATTATATTATCATCGTACGCATTATTTTCTGAATTGTTGTTGTATTTTAGGTGTTCTTAATGGTCCGGACATAAGAAAACTAAAATAGATTCATACATTTAATGAAGCTCTGGGGGAAGATTAACGAAATGCATGGAATGCAATTAAAAGCGTGATTTCAAATTTCCTCGGCAAGAATCTGTCCGAAAATTTTTGATGTCTTGTAATTGCTAAATTTGTTCAAGAAATTAGGTAATTTCAAACACATATTGCTCGGATTAATAATTATAATTTCATAAAGATTCACTACTTCATCACCACCTGGAGACTTTTAGCAGGCAAATGCCAACAGAATCTGATGAACATGGCGAAATGTTCCACCAAACATTGATGCGGACGGAAAAACGTTTTAAAGGTAAAACATTGGATGCCTTGTTCGCAGATGCCTGTTGGATAACATTCATAAAATACGATCCAGCGAGCGACACAGAGGACGATTTAGATCAATAATTAGATGAACCAGATTCTGAAGATTAATAAAAGTGTATTTGAGTTCAAAAACCGTTTTATTTCCATTTATGGATAATTATGATAAAAAATATCGAATTAAAATGTAAATTCTTGTCCATCGAGATAATATTTTAGAAAATATTCTTAAATTTTGAAGTTTGGTAATATTTTTGTAAATTAATAAAAACTTTATACCGTTGAAAAGTCCTTTATATTAAGGTACAACAAAAAATGGGTTTCCGTTAAACAAAAAAATTGGGCTGGCTGGAGATAAATCTGTAAAAAAATAAAAATTTCAATTACAACTTAGTCATAGATTAATAACCTCTTAAAGTTGCGCATTTTAAAATTAAAATGGACGTGTCCGAGCGTTTTTCTATAAAAATCCTTTCTTTTTAGGTTCTATGGGCTTTTATATATCTCCATTATTCGAGCTAAACTAGCAAAACCCCTTGAAAGATTCGTTTTGAGGGTTGCATAAATTCGATTTTTACCGATTTCATTATTCAAGTTTAAATTGTTCGGTCAAAATTTTTCGCATAGTGGCGAAATATAATTAAACGCCACAAATATGTCACTTGAAATGTATTTACTATTACCTATGTAACTTGGTAGGTAACTTAAATGCATACAAATAAAAGTATTCAACTGAATAAAAATAAGCAACAATTTTTTGTATTTTTAATGTTGAAGGCTTATATTTTTAATGTTGAAGGCTTTTAAGGCTTATAAGTAATAACTTGTTTAGTTATATATTAAGGAGATTCTTCTAAAGGAATAAGGCACTTCCCTGCTTGTATAATTTTTTATTTTCAAAACCGACTAGTTTCGACTATTATAGTCATCCTCAGGGTTTACGTCATTTAAATAAAATATACAGATTAATATTAAACATTAAATTTTGTATGTATATAGTTAATAAATATCACAGTCATTTCAGACTAAACAATTAAATTATAAATAGATGAAAACACGATTAAAAATATTAAACATACCACTGCTAAAATGGATTACATAATAAAACAAACTTGTTTAGTTGTTGAACGATTTTAAAAATTTAAAAAACAAATGAAAGCTTGTTCAAAGGGTAATGATATTCTTTATCTACTCCTATTGTATAATATTTGTTTTTTTTTGTATGAATAATGGTAAACATAAATTCCCTGCCTAACAACTCATTATTCACGTTGTTATAACAATGCCTATAGGGTTCTGTGATGGGCCGATTTCAATATTCACTGTGATTTGAACCAATCGGGTTTTAAATTTGGAGAAGGTGACTATAATAACATTTAAAATTGGTAAAAAGTGAGGTTAACCATTTATTTATTTATTTTTTAAAATCATTTAATTATCTACCTATTACAGTCGCGATTATGCGCATTATTCACTCGGATGGCGACTCGAGACGCAAACCTCATCCTCATGAATAATATCTCTCGTATAATAATATACTATTTTAATATATTTTGTTAATATTGCATAGTTTTACCAGAAATAAAAAAAATAAAAACTCTTTAAAAGAAGAAGAAAATTAATATTCTCGAAAAATTGTCCTACGATTTTTTTGGTTTTTAAATCCTTTTACGTACTTTTACATTTTTGGAAAGTAAAATTTTGGTTTTTCTTGATTTGGTGCTTTTTTATAGTATTTTACCTCGGCCCATGAATAAGGTTCGTTTTCGCGGAGCGCGTCACATATGCATTAGGATTATATTGGACCCACTTTTTAGTTTCAGTAACATTATTATAAATACAAATCCTGAAAGTCCAATTTTACTACTTCTAAAATCGGGTGAATTCAAAATTAATTAAGTAGGTAGGTATACTTATTTATAAACATTGTTTAAAACAATAAATAGTTTATGCCTAATTATACATCAATCATACAAATATAAATTATGTACAATTTATACTTTAAAATAAAAGGCAAAATAATAATAAAATAAAAAAGTGTAAATTTTGAATATGGTTTGAAGAGGAGTTACATCCATCTGAAGAACAGGTAAAAACGCAGCTTCTGTATGTTATTAGGTCTCCAGGTTGTTTGACATAATTGCAATAATTTCCTAGGTCTATTGATGAACAAAATCGTTTGGAACCAATCCCATCTAAAAGTAAATTAATAATATAAATTTATAGCAACTTAGGGGTCTTCCTTTAATCACGTAAGGTTTAAACAGGTGGGAGGGGGTTAGAATTGATCACTATGGGAAGATGGATGTTATGATAATCACGTATTTATATTTGCAGATTCTAAAAATAATGCTAATTTTCATTTAAAAAATACACGTGATGCTGGGATGGTGGGGTGCCTAAGGTAGCCTAAAAACTCACGACGTATTACCAAGCGGGAGGAGCAGAATTGACCTGAAAAACCTCACGGGATTAAAGTGTAAGTATAGGTATAAAAATTATATATATGGATCTTAGAGCCAAAGGGTCAATTTTTTTTCTATTTTGATGTATGTTTTTTAATAAATTTAAAAAAAATAAAAAAAAATATTATATTTATATAGATAATATTATTATTATAAAATACTATTATTATAATATATTAACATAATTATGTTCATAATACATTAAAGCATGAAAACTTAAAAAAAGGACCTAATACCATTTTGTCCAAATATATATACGGTATTGAAATTTTTTACAAGAAAAATTCAACATAAAACAAGATGCGTGCATATTTTATTTTAAAGATAAATATTTATTTTTCACTGTGGTGAGAAAGAAACGTAGTTAACTATATTTTAATCGAAAAAAAATAAGATTTTTATTTTTTATGCGTTTTTAGATGGCCAATAATGGGAAATAGTTTCATAACTTTTTAAGTAAGTCGATTACACAGCCATTCCAGAGAATTTGAAACTATAGTTTATAAGGAGCACAATTTAAAATTGTTTATATGCAATAACTTTAATATGAAATATTGTGCACGTAGTCTAAATTTTACATATCTAATATAAAAATAATATATTTTCCATTATTATGCCCTTAAAACAATATTTTACTTAATGCGAACGCATCCTAACAAAATGAATCAAAACATAAGTTATTTAGCAGGCTATTGTTCAGTGATTATGTCATTTATTATACAACTGTCATTATTTTATTTCATTAAAATATTAACTATCAGAGTGTTTGGTGACGATTTTGTAAATCAAAATGGGTAAGTAGTATTTTTTTATTAACTTTATTTATTTTATGTTGTTAGTGTAGCGTCCGTCATCAAAAAGATGTAATACTTAATATTTCTTAATGAAGATAAATAATTTTTGACTAAATTATTTATTTTTAAAAACACACATTTTGCCTCTTGTCAGTATATTAAGCTTTTTTAGATATGTCAAAAATCTATTTTTTTAAATTAAACTTTTATGTAGCGCCCGTAAGCAAAAAATGTTTAAGTAATATTTTTTTAGATTTTTCATTTATCTTGTTTTACGGTTAAATTAGACTAAATTAAAAACACACAAATGCTCATTCTAACCTTGTTTAAAGATTTTTCGAGAGATTTTTATACCGGTGAAATATTTTTTACAGATCAAAAGGAGAAGCGCATTAAACAAAACAGAATTGCCGCGCAACGTTATCGAGAAAAAATTAAAAGTGACGAAATTACAAGAATTGCACTTTTAAAAAAAGATGCCGAAAGAAAAAAAGTTGAAAGAGTAAAGAAAAAAGAAAAGTTACAGTTACGAAAAATTGAGAAATTAAAAGTTACTGAAAGAATGAGGCGTTACAGATCAAAGATTAAACAAATGAGACAAAATATTGAGCAGTCTTATAGTCCTTACAGATGTCCTTAAACGTTGGGTAAAGCTTTAAAAAAAGTTAAAAATATGTTACCAGAAAGTCCTCGTAAGAGAAAAATTGTAGTGCAGAAGTTAGCTTTACAAACTATCCCCGAAAAGTTGCGTGACGAGAAGCCCACAATAATTCATGGACTTACTACATTTACTGAAGATGTTAGATATTTTTTACCTACGTGATGATGTTAGCAGACAGGCCCCAGGAAAGAGAGACACAAAAAGTGTCAAAATTCCAATTACTGGTAAGAGAGAATCTTTACAAAAAAGACATCTTATAATGACGATTAAGGAGACATTTGCACTATTTAAGCAAGAATTCCCAGATACAAATACCTATTCAGATTACTAAATTTTACCAGTTGCGCCCCAAGCACGTTCTGTTATCATTACAAATGCCGCATAACGTGTGTGTATATAATTGAGGCAATACAAAATAATATTTTGAAGTTTCCAAAAAGCAGTACTGATTTCCTGATTTCCTGATTCCAGTTAAATATATGTTTGATTTGGACGACATACTTGTTAAGTACAAGCAGTGCCATGGAAAGATAATGAGGTCCAAGTTACAGAAGCTACGCTTTTTTCAGTAATCAAAACGCTAGAGAGCCAACTTAAAAGTGTTTAAAACACACTGTTTTGTTAAAAGGGTGCAAGAACGGTATTTTGATGAACAAAAGTTTCATCTTGCCGAAGATAAAGTTCTTGTAGTGCAAATTGACTTTGCTGAGAACTACTCGCTAGTGCATGTCTCAAAATGAAATTCAATCGGCGCACTGGTCTCACAAACCAGTAACAATATTTACTTGTGTTGTCTGGACACCACAGCAGACCTTTTCTATTGCCATTATAAGCGACTACATGGGACATGACAAGTACGCAGTTTATGTATTTCTTCAAGAAATTTTTAAGAAAATTCATTTGAACTATCCCCATCTATTACAACATTTATGCAAAGCAGTGATCTTTTCAGACGGCTGCGCTGCCCAATTTAAAAATAAATATACTCTTTCAAATTTGTGTTACTATGATGTAGAGTTCAACCTGCCTAGTGTTGAATGAAACTTTTTTGCCAGTAGTCACGGAAGGGTGCTGTAGATGCACTGGGAGGTGTGGTAAAAAGGACGGTTTGGCGAGAGGTAAGAAGTAAAAATATTGAGCTGTCAAATGCCCATGACTTCTTTGAATGTGCCAAAGGGCAATTATCTACTATCAACTTAATATATGTTTGTGCTGAGGATGTTGAAAATATAAAAGAGATGCTGGATAAAAGGTGGGCTAATGTTAAGAAGATTCCTTTTATCCAATCAAAACACTTTTTTATGAAATTCAGCTCCAATTTGTTGCAAACCGCTCAAACAAGAAATTCCAGTTACGAATCGTGTGTTGTATTTAAGTAGTGGCATATTTTACTGTTAAATGTAGAGTTTATTTGTTTAGTGAAGTTTTTGGTTGTTTATTTGAATTAAATTGAAAAATAAAAGATTAGCATTTTGGTGGAACTTTTGTAGCGTCCGTCATGTAGCGTCCATATTGTAGGGTGGTGACCCACCCTTAGTATTCTCTGAAAAATGTCACTTGTCTTGACGAATTCTATACTTGTCTTACTTATATTTTTGTAATATTAAAATATCCCTAATTGAATATTATTATTTAATTACAATTTTAGGCTTTTACTTATAGGCAACTGCTTGTACAGCTGTGTATTTTTGGTATTATAATCATTATTATTTTATAATAATGTAATAATTGGGTTTAGAAGATTATTGTGAATTATCTAGTTATCGTAAATAGGTTACTTATTTAATTAATATTTGAAGTAGTGCTGTTAATCCATAAAAAGAATTGACAGAAACTTCTACGATGCGCATGCATAAAGAAGTTTCTACGGTTTTTGGACGAGTCCATTATTTGATGATAGTGGGAAGGAGGCTCGAAAAAGGTTTTTCGATTGGATTATTAGGGTGTTGGCTGTTGGTGACTACACACTTGAAGCGAATATTAATAAACAGAAAAACTTCTAAAAGAATATGGTAATCTTCGTACATTGTGGTTCTTTCATATTAGAAGAATATACAGGTTAGTCTGATATTATTTATAATACATATTTTGTTGTAAATGATTGATTTACATGTTTTTATTTCTACAACGGCTGCCATTACGCAATGCTTTTAGTCACGTACCTCAAACAAATGCCTATTTTTCTCAATTATTTATTATTTAGAAAAACATTGAATTAAAATTTGATTTATATTTTAAATACTATAATAAACATACGTTTACAAATATTACAAATTATTAGAATACATAATGTTAAACGTTATTATGAAATTATCAAATTACACACTCTTAAACTAAATTTGTATCAATATTACATTTAGTATTATTATTGTGATTGGTCCAGTTTTACAGTTTGATTAATATCTGTGTTTTCAATTGACTTATCGAGACAAGTGAAAAATAACACTATTTATTATTAGGGTTTAAGGTCCCTTGATTTATGTATATGATTTGACCATGCTCCTTGAAGATTAAATATAAAAAGTTACAACAAATAAATATGTCGCCTAAATGGCACAATAACAAATATATCGCCTAAATGGCACAACAAACAAATATATCGCCTAAATGGCACAATAATAAATATGTCGCCTAAATGGCACAATAACAAATATATCGCCTAAATGGCACAACAAACAAATATATCGCCTAAATGGCACAATAATAAATATGTCGCCTAAATGGCACAATAACAAATATATCGCCTAAATGGCACAATAACAAATATATCGCCAAAATGGCACAATAAGAAATGTGTCACCTGTGTCACAATTAAAAGTATATTACCTAAAGGGTAAATACAACAATAACAAACTTGCCTAAATGGCTTTACACACAATAAGTTGTTAACACCGTCGTTATTTTTATCGACGAGGTTCAGGGTCTCAGTATATATTCTTGGTTCACCACTCTACCTGCACGTTATAATTGTAATGATTTTGAATACTATTATGTTTTGGATCAGGGTCTCCTTGGATTGACCATAATCCTAACCTCATTTTAACTACGCGAATCCGGCACGATATAATTGGAATGATTTTGAATACTATTATGTTTTGGATCAGGGTCTCCTTGGATTGACCATAATCCTAACCTCATTTTAACTACGCGAATACGGCACGGTATAATTGGAATGACTTTGACTACTATTATGTTTTGGATCAGGGTCTCCTTGGATTGACCATAATCCTAACCTCATTTTAACTACGCGAATCCGGCACGATATAATTGGAATG